TTTTAAAATTCAAACTTTCTTTTTACTTTATATACCACACAACTTAATATATTCATATCATACATAGATTATGTTAATGTTTCTGTTCTGAAGAATTGGAGAGATTTTTTTTTTACTTTTCATTGCATTAATCATGGCGTTAAGCCGTGTTGCCATGGAAACAAGAATACAATCATGTAAGCAAATTAGTCATGTTTTAATTGCTCTTCAGGTGCTTTGAATGTTTTATGTCTTCTTGTCTGCTTACTCTCTCAAATAGTAGCATGAGAGTAAAAAAAATCATAATTCATTTTGAGGACTTCACTTTTGTCAGCTAAATTCACCATAGTTTCTTTCTATTATCTGTAACAATATTGGTTCGATCAACTGCTGTCCTTTCTATATTTGGTCGTTTGCATTACTATGCACCTGATCCCACTTCTGGAATTTTCAGGGGTCCCTGTTTTATGCCCTGTTCACAAATTTGTATAGATTATACAAATTGTTAGGCCATTATTTACAAACTGAATTGTCTACGGACTTTTCCGTTATTTACCAATCATGACAAGGAGCACAAGGCGGGTATGACTGATGGCAGGAGATGCTCACACCTCCATGGCACCTGATCCCACCTCTGATGTTTTAGAGGTCCGTGTTTACTCTGCTCCTGATTTGTATTGTTAACATGGACTTTTGAGCTTGAATACTGTTCGTTATCTCCATATTTTTTTTATTAGATCGACAACTGTCCGTTATATTCACCTTTTTCATTTTTTTTTCAAAACAGAAGTAAATACATGTAGCAATCAAAGATTCATTGGATGAACGTTGTATGATGAAGACCTACTTAAGTATGAAATTTCAAGATAATCGGTGATGATGCGAGCCAAAATAATAAGTGCTTACAGAAAATTGTTTTTTTTAAATACCACTAAATACATATGTAACTGTATACTTGTTATTAAATTCATACAGTATCCTACAATTTCTTAAGTATTGAAATTATTCATTTACAATCAAATACATGTATTCAAAAAAAACAAAAACATAGAGGGCAAATCCAAAACTGACCATCTATGTATACTGTAACAATATTAAATAGGAGGGCTAGGTGATTAGCTCCATTTAATTCGAAAAAGATGTTCTCGGTATAAGTGGTAGGTAAGTGAAAATTATGGAATCCGGATAGGACCAGGTAGTTCACTATCACATCATCGCACCATGGAGGTTTGGGTCGATATTGCAATGACGCTATATTGCGATGACGATGATCCGATGGCACGATGAAACGATAGCACGATGACGCAATGGTGCGATAGCGATGGCACGCTGGTGCAATGGCGATGGTACGATGAAGCGATGTTCATATCGCTCCATCCTGCTATTGCACCATCGTCATCGCAGCATCGAATCACATCATCCTTATTGCGCTATCGCACGGTCACGTCATTGTCATATCACCGTCGCTTCATCGTCATTGCATTATCGCGCCATCGACCCTTTAATCGATGCTCAATGGTGCGATAGTCAGTTACGTAGTGCTATCCGGATTCCGAAGAAAACTTTTTCGGTAATCAATAACAAAGAACAAAGACCCACTAGACCTTTGCTTTAAAAACATAATTTTTGGAAATACCACTCTGGTTTTTTTTGGATAAAGTATTTATTTGTGGTAATTCGCAAGTCAAAAATATTGTAATGACGTGCATGACTTATTGATTAATGAGTAGGTTCATGGCCAGGATTCTTACATTAGGAGTTCAATCTTCGCAGAATAAAAAATATCCATCACATGCAGCGGCAAAATAATTAAATAATAAAACTCTATCAAAATAATTATAATCTGCTAATAATACATATGTATATACTTAGTATCATATTCAATAAAAAGCGCTAATGACATAAGTACTTAATTTGGTAGTCAATAGGAAATATTTGATGTTATTGGCTTTGGATATGGGAACTATACAGAAAGGAATATACTAATTATCCCCAAGAACTCACACATGCAATTTTGAGCAGTACATGTATATGTAAATTGTACATATAATGGGGATAAGCATATGCTCAGATATATTTTACTGTTGTTCATTCAATGTAACATAGGAACAGACAGACGGATAGGGACACTATAGCAATGAATGTAGTTTGCTGTGGTTAATACTTTTCTGGACACCGTTGTGTTCACATTCTTGTGAGTTTTTCTTCCTGTTTATCCGTCTAGATCTCTTCAAACAGTCTTCCTCTTTTTAGCAAAAAAGTTCTTTATTTCGTACATTGTGTCTTCTGCCATTTTTTTAACTTCCAGTAAAACGTTATTTATAAGTTGCGGGTATTCTAAGTATCTTTCATGAAAGAGTCATGATAGTGATAAGTTCATAAATTACGATTCTTTTGTGAAACTACCATCAGAGCTAAAAAATGATGTTATACCAGATGCTGATATGAAATTAAGGTGCACCGGGAAAATTGTGAAGATATCACAGAATGAGAGCACCACACACCACACTGTTAGCCTGAGACAATTCAAAAATATTAATGCGAACTTAACACTGTCATTGACACAATATTCTAGGTAGCTTTGACCATTCAGTTACAATCTTGCTACAGTGGTGGTAAATGACCAGAGGTATATGCTTATATATTTAATGGTGAAAAGGTCAAAGATGAAGGTCATTGTTACAATAAGTTTCTATATAATGTTGTAGCACTTGGACCCTCAGTCTTGAACTTGCTACAAAGGTGACCAGTGATACAGGCCTATTCATTTCTGAGTAAAAAGTTCAACCTTTTGGTGTCTTATTTACCGATAGTGTTAATACACTAGTATTTACTACCATATAACTACTCTGTTCAATGCAAATGCGGCAAGTAAACCAGAAGAGCATGCCTATTTGTTTGAAAACCAAGGCTGAAGTCATATACAATATAAACTTAAAATTGAAATATTCTAGCTATAAATCGCATTTTAATGCGTTTGAAAGCCAACTCTTTTATTGCAAATCACGACAACATTTTGGTAGTTGACTTGCTGCTTTGCATGTGTTATAAAGATTACCAATCAAAACATTCGGCCTATTCCGTTAAGTCGAGAAAACCATGAGCTATTTCTTTCGACAAAAAAGACATTCAAGACACTAATGCTTTTTCATAGAAATAAATTACCCCCCATTCCAACCTTCATCTTCAGTCTCTTTCAGTTATAATTAACTAGGGACACTATATATTAATCAGAATACACCTGTAAATATGCCTTTAAGCAGAAAAGGAGATATTTCATCCGTTGCCGTTCCGTTAAAAATATAGTCTCTGCTAGATTTCAAACTCAGTTTACCATTTCTATATAGAGTTGTACAATTTTGAGAAGGAAAGAAAAATATGATATTTTAAATCTCTAACATCTAAATTTATATAAAAGACATTTAAGCAAATATACTTTGAATATTTCATTTAGTCCGAAAACAGACAAGAATCTCTCCTTATTAAACATTACAAATTGCGAGCAGAGCAAACACGGTTCTCTGAAAACTGTCATAGAGGATTAGGCATCCCTTGTAGACCAGATACACCCGATGTGAGCCCTTTGTCTTGAAAGGGTAAAAGGAGTAACAATTCAGTATGAGAATAATAGCCTAACATTTGTATTAAATATGTCATTTTTCGATTTCATGACAGGTTGTATTTGCAAACGAAATCATTATATCGACCATAAACTCTACTAAATGTTGACTTTAAACGAGATTGTTGATATCTTTGTTACATCAACTTATTTGTCCGTAGTCTGACTTGTTCAGAAATTGATTGTATTGAACATGCTCTTGCGTATCGAATTAACAGGGAGAAAAAAACCATGCAGGTGATAATGGCAAATTGCTACATAAAGAAGGGAATTTGACCAAATAAAAGTTGAAGTAATCACGTTTATCACAAACCTCAGTTGTTTCTTTAAAATCTATGACCTTTTCTAGTAAAACATCAAAATATGAAACAGATGTGCCGGACTCTGTGGTGTTTTTTTTTCGGGTTCAGTAGGAAATTAGATAAAACATCGTCAATTTATCTAAATAAGCAAGAGACGTCTTGTTTTCATACTGTAGTTTTTTGGGATATATTCTGTTTTAAAACAAATAAACAGGTCTGCTAATAATGAAGCACAATGATACCCTTAATGTTTGATCCATCCTTTGACATATTCCTCAACAAAATTTACAACAATTATGAAATATTATCGCCAATTGAAAGATTCCCTACATTAAGGATCCTTTGAAGTCTTATTGTTAACGATATTCACATCACCAGTAATAACATGTGTGGCGGCACACATTGTCGCTCGTGCATATATATTGTCGCCGGCGATATTCTGAACAGAATTGTACTTCAGTCACATACATGTATTGTCCTCCATCGGCACATTTTGTCACCTGAGAGAAAAATAAACCTGCACAAATTGTCACCAACGACAATGACAAATGTGTAGACCCTTATAGCGCATATTATCGTCCTGATCTTCAGAATTTACATGATGTTAATGGTGACGGCATTTTTATTCTTTAGCTCACCTTGACAAAGTGAGGAGGAGCTTACGCTATACTCCCTGTGTCGCCTTTTGCATTGGCGTCCCCGTTAAAGTTTTAGGTTCATTCCATGTAACCTTGAGAAAAACTTGGATGGATGATGCATCTAAGAATGCACACTACCAGAAATACTTCGGATGCTGGATATGACCTACATTTTCCATATGAGTGACCAGGTTAAAGTTTTTGGAACAGGTCCATTCCAGAGTAACTATAAGTCCAACGTAGAAGAAACCTTGCATGGATGGTGCTAGCTGTAGTTCTGTAGCTCGTTGGTCTGAAAAAAAATCGGGATGGACGACGAGAGAGCTACAGTCCCACCCTTTGGAAAAAAGTGTATATTTATTATTATATTATTATAAAAGACGGTGTTGTACGATTCATTTTTCATGTTTTTCCGTGTTTTTCTGTCTTCTCAAAATATTACTAATTGTGTGTTCCTTACGTATTCTTTTACTACATGTATTTCCACAACAAAACATTCTTTTTTTTTTAATTCGAGCTTTTGTGCAGTTGATGTAAAAATTTGGAGAAATTAATCCAGAACCCACCTCAACTTTTTATGAGCAATGAATATACAGTTTTTTTCTATGGAAAGCACTGAGCTCTCCGGTCTGTCAATATTTTTTCGGAGATCTACAGTTCTGCAGCTAGGATGGTGCATCTAGGGACGCATAATTCCAGACATGCTTTGGGTGCTGGATCTGACCTACATTTTCCAGATAAGTGACCAGGTTTAAGTTTTTGGAGTTAGTCCATCACTATAAGAACTTCTTTGTTTAAACTTGCAAAGATGATGCATCTAGGGATACATACTGCTAGACTGGTTTCAGATGCTAGATCTGACCTAAGTTTAACAGGTAACATTTTTGGCATCATATTCATTCCCAAGTAGCTGTAAGTCCTATTAAGACCAAAGTTACATGGATGATGCATCTAGGTATGCACACTAACGACCTGCAACGGGTGCTGGATAAATTGACCTGCATATTCAGATGAGTAAACAGGTCTATGCCCTTCCTGGACTAACCTTGCATTGGTCACACTACCAGACTTGCTTTAGATGCTGGATTTGGCCTGAATTTATTGAAGCAGGTTCATTCCAAAGTAACTATAAGCCCTACTTTGACCAAACTTGCATGGATGGTGCATCTAGGGATGTGGACTACCAGATTTGCTTCGGATGCTAGATCTGACATAATTTATTGAAGCAGGTTCATTCCCAAGTAACTACCTGTATAAGCTCTACTTAGACCAAACTTTTAGGGGTGGTGTATCTAGGGATACACACTACAGAATTGCTTCAGATGCTGGATCGGCTCTACATTTTCCAGTTTCGTGAACAGAATAAAGTGTTAGAGCTGGTCCATTCCCAATTAACAATAGGTCCTATCGTTACACTTGATGTAATTTGCCTTTTCCAAAATTGTGGAATATATAGCCCCACTAAGGGGTTCTGTGGAAAGGGGGGACTGTTGATAATAGAGTGAAAGTGCATGAATTCTTTGAAAATCTTCTCTGCTACTGAGTACTTAGCAGATGAACTAAATACATGGTTATGATGAGCAAGGATGCTACTTTCAAAATTGTGAAAATTGTCACCCAGGATTAGAGTGTTAATGTCGGGGCATGTCTGTGGAATACATGTATACTATGAAAATGAAATATAGTGATAATGCAATATTTCTTTGAAAATCTTCTTCCCTGTCCCTGGAAAGTTAGCAGACAAACGAACTGCAGGATAAGGATTCTCAAGGATGCCTCTTCAAAAAATTGAAATTAATAACCCCTGGGTCAGGGGTGTGTTTGTTTGTTTATTGTTTAACGTCCATCTCGAGAATTTTTCATTCATATGGAGACGCCACCACTTGACGGTGGAGAGCTGCAAATTTTGACATATACTCGGCACTCAGGGCCATTAAGCAGTGAGGGATCTTTTTTCGGCCAGCACCTACTGCGACACGGGACCTCGGTTTATACGGTCTCATCCGAAGGACCGGTCTCCACGTCTCACAGTGGGATTCGAACCCGCGACGTAAGGATCAACTCCTTACTCTGCAACTTTATAGCGAACGCTCTAACCACTTCGCCACGTGGGTCAGGGGTTTGGCTCTGTTGACTGTATACTAAAAATGCAGTATTTCTTTGAAAATCTTCCCCTCTGCCCATGGGTATTTAGTAAACAAACTAAATGCATGGCTATGATAAGCAAGGGCGTCTCTTCCAAAATTATAAATTTTATGGCCTCTGGGTTAAAGGCTCTGGTGTTAGGATGGAGCTATGTTGAATCTGTGGTGAAAATGCATTATTTCTTTGAAACCATTCATCTCTGCGCCTGGACATTTAGGAGGGAAAAAGAATATATATAAAACTGAAATAAATAAGATTATTTTTACAAGGTTTTTGAAATTCTGCACATTTGGTCAATTTATCATTTTGTATTCTACTGACAGAAGTTATTCCACTTTGTTATTCACCTATGATAGTTAAACACTGTAAATGTAATTGAAGGGTCAACAGAATAACAGAATTTTACAATTTTGACAAGAAGTATTTTCTTAAATAATGTCAGGTAGACATTCAAATAATAGCTGAATAAAACAGAGGCCAATGTGAGAGAGAATGAGATAGGTTTACTAACAGTGCTCAAGAACTATTGTGTTGTTTAGTCTGCATGAGAATAGTGACAAACTGGGCAAGTACAGGCAAGTAAATAAATCAGTTTTATATTTGCTCTTGAACAATAAATTAATTTTGTTGCTGATCCCTGTTCACTATGTTCATATTTCTCTTGATTTGGGGCAACATAGCTTTATTTATCGGCGTCTTTGTTTTACTTTATGTTCAATCTTCTGATCCTTTATATGTGACATTATACTCAGGTGACCTAGGACCCTTGAGCCTCTGTTCCAGAAATATTTCGGGAAGTGGTTAGTTTAATTTGACGACTAGATCCCCACTAAAAATTTCAATCCTCTATGTTACGGGTTTTTCAATATTTCTGAGCATGATGTTTAAAAAATGCGGGACCTATCGAAAGGATCAAGATTCGAGGTCGGATCTTAAATCGTAAAACACGACGGCATCACCATGTTTTTCATAAAGGTTTTTTGACAATAATACTCAATGCGTCTCGAATATGTTTCATAGTATCCAGCACTTAAATTTATCCCTACTGTACAAGTTCTAAGTCGGAAGTCAATTGGCTTCATAAAATTCCTAATGAATAACACAGGTGGACCTGGGCCAAAATGCAAACCTGAGAAACTTTAGCCCCGCTTTTATTTAAAAGAAATTTCTCTTTTCTTTTTTTTTTTTAAAGAAAAACTGTGATTCAGTAATTATTATAGACCTTACTCGAAGTGGTATCTGAATCAACACAGCATACGCGCGCATGCTTTGATATCAACGTGACTATATTGGTACTGAAGTTCTGGAAAAGAGGGGTTTTTTTCTCTTTTACTTGTAATAAGATTTGATCTCAATTTTAGCCATCTCCATTACAAGATTAAAAAAGGGAATCAACACAACTTGGATATGTCTCAAGATTAATGGTTAAATATTGTGCTCAACCTGCAATGGACCAATAATTCTTGAAAAGATTTGATAAATCCAATATATCTTTCAGTTTAAAACGAGTACTTAAAATTTCAGACCCCGGGGCAGGGGACTTCGATGTCCCCGAACGCGATGTTTATTCACTTATTTTTATAAAGTTGCCATAAAAAGTGGAGGAGTGGATCTCGAAAACTAGGGATGGTACCATCACCGTATTTTCACAGAAGTGGAAATTGACCCCAAGTACCCCACTCCAAAAATTTCAGACCCCAGGACAGGGGATTTCGATTTCCCCGAGCCCGATGTTTATTCACTTAGTATTATATAGTAGGCCTAAAAACTGGAGTTCTATATCTCGGAAACTAGAGATGGTACCATCACAATTTTTTCATAGAAGTGGTAACTGACCACTAGTAGCCTACCCTCAAAATTTCAGACCTCGGGACAGGGAACTTCGATGTCCCCGAGCCCGATGTTTATTCATATAGTATTATATAGTAGGCCTAAAAACTGGAGTTCTATATCTCGGAAACTAGAGATGGTACCATCACCATTTTTTCACAGAAGTGGTAACTGACCACTAGTAGCCTACCCTCAAAATTTCAGACCTCGGGACAGGGGACTTCGATGTCCCCGAGCCCGATGTTTATTCATATAGTATTATATAGTAGGCCTAAAAACTGGAGTTCTATATCTCGGAAACTAGAGACGGTACCATCACCATTTTTTCATAGAAGTGGTAACTGACCACTAGTAGCCTACCCTAAAAATTTCAGACCCCGGGACAGGGGACTTCGATGTCCCCGAGCCCGATGTTTATTCATATAGTATTATATAGTAGGCCTAAAAACTGGAGTTCTATATCTCGGAAACTAGAGATGGTACCATCACCATTTTTTCATAGAAGTGGTAACTGACCACTAGTAGCCTACCCTCAAAATTTCAGACCCCATGACTTATGTTTAAATTTTGAATTGCGAACTGCGTTCTGGAATGCAGTTCACTTTTGAATTGCGAACTGCGAACTGCGTTCCAAAATCTGATTGCCGATAGCGTAACCCAGTTAATCCTAGATTAGACGTAAATCGTCATTCTGTCACCTTGTTGTATTATTAAAAAGATATTCTTGGGATTGTAATTAAAAAGGCGAATAAAAGTAATACGTTTGTTGTAATGGATATACATGAATATAATGGATATATCTCGATCCTCAGATTGTATAAGACAACTCGATTCTACCTATTATGTAGAGGTAGAAAAACAGGATTTAGTAGCTCTACATGTGAGCATCCAATCAAAAGTTTATGGAATGTATCAAAAACAAAACTTAAGATACGGAAATATACCCGTTTTTAAGCAAGAATAAAATGACAACCTTAAATGTGGGAGTCTGTATTTGCTCTCTAAATACATAAAATTAATAACTAAATGCTTGAAACACTTTTAAAGCTAACGCAACCTCTCAAGACTTCCACCTGGTCGGCCAATTATTTTTCAATGTGGCACGGGAATGAAAATATAGGTACATGTAACTAACGTGATCATTTCCTCGTGCGCATTGTTTAAAAAACAAAATTCATACATCAAAGACACGTCCGATTATGAACAAATCAAATTTCTGATAGACCTGGAAAATTTCATCCTGGTTACCTATGATGTGACCAGCAGGTACACCAACATGGAATTTTATGAATTAATTACTACAAATTCTGTCGAGAAAGTATATCTAGAAGACAATACTAATCTGTAATCACCCCGACCTTGCTGTTCTGCTAGAACCTAAAGCTTATCATCTTCAAGTAACCTGTTTTATGTATCTTCATTTCATATCACAGGAAAGAATTTTAATGATTTTCTCCAGTGTAAATTGTCAGTGTAAAAACTGTATATGGACATATAGCATTACCAGTTTAGGTGTAATTTGTCAACGAAAATTGACAAAAAAGCTGTACAAAATGACAATATTCAGAATCAAAAGTGGCGGCCGCTGTCGGCCATCGTACTTCTTGGATCAAACTGACAAACTTGTGAAGATATTGTATCTATATAGCTAGTTATGCACATTACCAGAACATTTGTTTGGTGTGAGACTCGGTCTTACCTGTACATGTTACAGATAACATTCGTCGACGTGGGCTTTGTAATCTTTGATAACCTATGTTAAAAAGTTACAAAACTTAATGTTATAAACGTTCCCCGTTAATGCTCAAAGGCGTTTTTCGGTGATTGAGGAATAAAATAGACCACTTAATTAGTATTTAACTATAAAAATATTTTTGGAATTTGAGATAAGTTTTTAAAAATTTAAGGATTTTAGCACCATTCTCTGTAAGTATTTGCACTTTTAAGGGATGTGATATGCATTATTATAGAATCCCTTCAAAGTTTGTAAAATTTAAAAAACTTTCTTCTAAAATCAAATACAGGAAATTCGGGGTGTTATGGATGAAAGATTGAAAGATAACCATGGCAAAGGATCTCAAACGTTGGGAAAATTTGCGTTTTTTTACAATGTTGAAATCTTACTGTGTGTTCTTGTGGCAATATTGCTAAAACATGAAGTTGAAAACTTCAGGTTTCATATTTGGGGAAAATACCCAATATGAAGTGTTATCATGGAAACAAAAATGTAAAAATTTACATTATTACATCGTGGATGTTCATTGATTTTTTCCCTATATTTTGAACATACACAGGTAATAGTACATGTACATAAGAATGACAGAAAATGTACTTCAAGGCTAATAAAAGAATAAATAATTCTAACAATGATATCATTTGCTATGGAAATGGAATAATAAATAGAAATTGAAAAGATTTTTATTCTTATTTAGCAGGTAACATTAACGTTTTTCGACGTTGAAAAATGATCCCCCAGCCTTAGAAAAATGTAACTTTTTGTAGAAAAAGAACCCTTTGGATCAGTTTTTTTTTTAAACATGTGCAACCTACAGGATAAATGCCTCCCCCTCCCAACTGAGCGATACAAAGTTTTTTGAAAAATGATGGATGACAAGATTTGGGTCTCAACTACGTTTTATTCACTTGCTTTTTTCTGATGAACATGGGACGAACACACAATTAAAATGTAATATTACATGTGTTTAGATCTATTATACCTAGTATATGGATATTTTACTAGAGAAAGACATTAATAGCAAACTAACAACAAAACTTAACGATACACGTATTGACTTCAACTTTTCTATCTTCAAATTCCCTTATTTATGTAGCAAATTAGCAATATACCATTATCACCTGTATATGGAGTTTGTCTCCCAGTTGATTCTCGATACGCAAGAGCATGTTCTACATACGAACAATTTCTAAAACGAGGCAAGCTATTGACAAATATGTTGATGATACAAGGATATAAACAGTTAATAGTTCGCAATTTCTATGAACGATACAATGACCTTGTTAGCAAATAAAATCTATTGTTAAGTCAAAGTCGAATGTTGACAGGCGTTCATCATACAAATTGTTAGGCAATTACTTTTACACTGAATTGTCTGCGGATTTTTCCGTTTGCCCGATCATGACAAGGAGCACACAGCGGGTGTGACCGGTCGACAGGGGATGCTTACTCCTACATGGCACCTGATCCCACCTCTGATGGTTTTAGAGGTCCATGTTTGCTCTGCTCCCAGGTAATGCTCTAATGGACTTTTCTGATCTCAGGTAATGCTCCAATGGACTTTTCATTACTGTTCGTTATCATTATATTTCAAATAATGTGTTTTCAGCACGCAATAAAAATCGAACAATTTAGATACGTCATGGTGGCTTTTAGTTAAAACTATTATTCTAATCTTTCTTTATCACCCATTTCATATTTTGGATATTTTACTGATTATAGACGTTTATGGCTAACTGACAACTAATCTTTATGATAAACGGGGTGTCTCCGAATCGGCTTTTCCATCGCCATCTTCTTACATATATTTATTTATTTATTATTATTTATTTATTTATGTAGTACTGTTCCACTATCACCTGCATATGCTGTTTATGTCTTCTAACTTATTCGGTACGCTAGAGCATGCTCTGCATACGATCAATTTTTTAATAGAGGTAGGATACTGACAAATAAGATAATGTTATAGAGCTTTCAATAGTCTCAAAGTCAGCATTTCGAAAATTCCTGTATCATAATGACCTTGCTAGCAAATATATTTATTTTTCCGTTTTTTTTTTATTTTGTAAAATTATACATTTTGTAATTTGTAACTTTTATAAATACGGAAAATAATACAAAAGTACGGTGCCACTGAAGCCCAGCGCACGGGATTTCATCTAGTAGTTTCAGAAAACACCGAGAACAAGCTTGTTTATCAATCTTTTTTTTTAATACTTTATGTACTAGTATCAGATAATCTTGTGTATGAAAAGCTTGTGTTCAATGTTTCCCTTTAACAATATCAGCTGTATTTTTAGTTTTATTTGAAATACGGGGCCAAAGAAGATGTGTGAACGTGTGCAAAACGTAAATACATTTATCTTCAAGGTTTGCAAAGTAAATTAAGTACATGTATTTAGAGCAAATAATTGAAACCTAATTATTGAAAAGTATAAAATCATCAGCTAAACAAATCTTTTCTATGGAAAAAATCTCTCGGCAAAAACCCTTCTTTGGTAAAAAATATTACGGATTTCTTGGGAATCGTGAGGAGCAGCATTAAGTCTTGTGATATAACCCATGAATAACTGGACTTCAAAATTTCCACGGAAAGATACGAATTTTTTGTCATAAAAATGTATTTTTTTATTAGGTAGAGTGGGTCCTTGTTTTTGTAAAGCAAAAAATTTATACTTTTAGATCTAAGCAACTTTGCAGACCTTCTTTGAAAATAAAATGGAGCGAAGACCCACTTAGAGAAATTAAAACTTCTTATAGCAAGAACAAAAATTTATCTATTCTATCCTCTTTGCTGAGCGCATGCTATTTCATAGACGAATTATTTCAACACTGGTGAGATTTTACATGAAGTATATATTGTTAACTGAAATATCACAGAAAATCATATTATAATCGAGATTTTTCACTTTCTTGTTTGTTGAACCCTAGGCATTTTTTTTTTTTGGCTTCTTCGCCAAACTCCTTTGGACTAATGGCCTACTTAGAACTACAAGTACATCTAAGAGCCTCTGTTAACGTCCCTAAACTCCTTCTATCCCTCGGAGTTTACGCGGCGCCAAATCAAAAGTATCTCGCCGTGAACCTCTAGCACGCTGGAGTAAACTAATGGCCATATCTTGTCCTTTTATCAAAGTATATCCTTTACATTACCTACACTGATAAATCAAATTCCTTAAATAATGCTGTTTATAAGCCTAAACTGTGTTTTACATCATCTGCCTATGTGGTTTTTTTCTGGTAAATGAGACATTGCAGCAAAAGAAAATATTAATCTTTAAAATGTATGCATGTAGTATTCTTGGTAAGAAAGGCACCATTTCCTTGTTTAAATTTTGTTGTACAACAAAGAATGTACTAGTGCAATGCTACATGTTATAAACCACAATCTGCTCTTTAACAAAGCATGGCATATTCTATTCTATTAAGTAAAACACACAAAAATTCCCAGAGTGTTCTTGATTTTATTGTCCCTATATACACATCACATGACTCCCTATTGAGGTGGAGGTGCTGAGGATCCCCGGCCTCGTCCAAATCCTCCTCTCTGCAAAAATAAAGGACAATTATTAAGTGCATACGATATGGAAACTTGGGGAGGGATGTCATTTATAACTTCTAATGCACTTTTTGAGAAAATCATTGTGTGCATCTGCTACTGGACTTTTGCGAGACTTTTACCAAAGACGACTTACTTTTACACTAGGACAATATACGGAAGCTCTTTTAAGCTATAAACATTAAGCTCAAGAGTTAATTAAACGATGATAATGGGACATTTCAAAGCAAATATTATGTTGGCTAGGAAGGGATCTGCATCCACCCTACTCTCAACCCCCTCCCTTCCCACATTGGCTAATTCTTGCTTAGTTTTCCTTCTGATATGTTTTTTCTTCCATATTTCATTCCTTCAGAAAAATAATATTGAAAGGAGATACTATCCCTCATGAGTAAGGTAATTTAAGTAACGTAATTCTGCCTCCCATCATCTCTTGCGTTGACTGCATACCGGTATATCATACAAGTGCCCCTACCACCATATCTATAACCACTATTAAGGTTTTCTTGTCAATTAATATCAATTCCGTACCTCCGTACATAAGGCAAGTAAGCCATCGACTGTAAAAGTCAGTGCTTCTCGCAAAAGTCCACTAGTATCTGAATTAAAGGCTGATGAATGCAAGTAAATCTTCGCAGAAACTTTCAAGCTCTCCACTTCTAAAGACTGGACCACACCTAGTGTCTCTTTCTTGATATTTACTTTTAATATTATGCTTACTTCTTTTCCCCATTGCTACTTAAAGGATATCTGCTCTCAGCAAGGAACAATAACTCTAAAATTATTATTTAATTTAAAGTCTCAAACTTGGCATGATTTTGAAACCTTTTCATGATTTATGTATTTCAATATGACAAAGGTTCTTTGAAGTCTTAGAAACAGTCTTGTAAAAATGTTGAGATTTGTACCCCATAAAAGTACAAAAATAAATAAATATGAAGATAAATCTAATTTCCTTTAATTTAGCCTTAGATACTACAATGTTTATTAGCATGATATGAAATAAGAAGACATCTGTGATGTCTTGCAATAACACAATTTTTTTAGTTTTTACATAATCAACAAAGGTAGAGAAAGGTAGCACTTAGGCTTTAACCTATGGCTGTTTCACACAAGTTACACAGGAAGTATATTAGGCATATGCCATAACTCCCAAAAAATAATTAAATTGCAATTTCCTGTGAATATGCATATCTACACAGTTTGTTCTTATCAACTAAAAAGTTTTATGAAATTCTGTTGAACGGTTTAAGAGCTGAGATGACAAGAATAGGACCGACTAACTGGTTGAGGGACATGTCAAAAACATTTTACCTTCCACAACTCGTTGTGTGGGATATAATTACTACTTTTTACTTTAAAAAAAAAATTATGAATATTAAAATGAATTTTAAAGGTTCATAAAGACTCACTAATTATGTTGTACTTGAATATAAATATTCAGAATAATGCATAGGTGCTTAAATTCATATACATATTATTTTGCTATATCTTTCCTTTGGCATCTATTTGCTGGAGTTTGTTTCTGCGCAAGTCTTAAAATCTTAATTTACATATCTATTGACCTTTTAACATATTCACTATTTCTAGAATTAGGGAATAACTATCTTCTAATTTGGCATTTGTGACCATTAATGCTGATTTAACGGTCGCAAACTGGGTTTTACCGGCGACGGCGGAAGACGGATGTTTGCAACCGTTACATCACCATTAACAGTCGCAAATACCAAATTAGAAGATAGTTATTCCCATTCTAATGCAATTTTGCTGAGTTTTGTCGTATGAAATACGTCACGGAGTGTTGTGTTTTTGCGTCGCTCTATTATGATGTCACAATCAAAAGCTTTCACTGTCGTTAATGCTTGTTTAACTGCCTAAAACATCATTGCACTGACCAATCAAAATTCATTTTACAAAACAATTGCATTAGAATTCCTGAATTTGTTTTTAGCTCAAATATAGCAAATCTTTACATTGCAAGTTATTTTTCCTTAATTCAGTATCTTACCATAAAAAGAATGTAAAAAGAAGGTACTTACAAATTGGAAGGATGGCTCTGCACCAGGTCCCACCTCAGCTTTTTTATCTCCTCCAGCTGTAAGATAAGTAAGGCCTCTCAATCATAAAGGAACATCATAAACCGGATTTTTCCAAAACAAGTAAACATATTTCTGTGGCCCTGTAAGGCTATTGAGCAAGCTTGTCCATCGTCAAGGAAGGTACATATACATGGCAGGGATGGGGTCGATTACTTTCAAAAGTAATCAATTAAATTACAATTACTTTGGATTTTAAAAGTAATCAATTACAAGCTGATTACAGCTATTATTTTTAAAGTTATCAATTATATCTGATTACTTTTCCATCAACATGGCATATATGCATTTCTATCAGTTACATTTAAAATTGTTCAAATTCATAACCTTATTGGTAGTCAAAATTATTTTTGAACTAATTTCATTAGTTCTTACATGTAATTGCAAATCAAAAATTTTAAAAGATAAATTTGTGTGATATGGTGTCCAATTTTCACTTATATTCATATTCACCGTTTACTCAAATCTGAACCCAGAGCATAGATTCTTCAATGAACAATACCAAGCAAATAAGAACTTCAAGTAAGCTATCATTATTATATTGTACTAAATTGCAGAGTTATTTAGTGGAAATGAAAGCTTTAATACATGTAATAAAAGTATGTTATTACTGATGTGTAATTCAGGAGACAGCGCAAGACTCCATCATTATTCATTTTCTGTACCCATCAACCTTAGTTTCAAACTGAATGGAGGTAATTCTGTTATTTATCATGGTATTAAATGTTGGATTTTTCTTGATATTGATAAACAAAAGCAGAGGAAATTCAACCAATGTTATCAGTATGATGCACTTCGATGATGAAACTCTCATTACTGTGGCACACATTATAAAATGTACTGCACTGAGATTACTCTGTTGTCTTATTCTCTTATGTATTTCAAACATGAATATCAAATAGTAATTTCAGTAAAGATTATAAACATAATTATTTAACACCAAGAGTACATCCAATAATTCCATTAAACTATCAGCTATATTTAAATTGGTCAGAGGTGAATCTAGATTTATGAAAGTGGACCAACTCCCCCACTTTTACAACAGTGAGGGAGTTGTCCCACCTGGGGATTTTCTCAGCAAAATCCCTATAGGCTAATTTTAATTTTACTCTAAGACTAGTTGTTGATATTCAAAATACTGAAGAATGCAAATTTTAACTGTGCTGATTCATGTACCTTATTGCATATCTAAACATGAATAAATATGTCATTATGGTCTACCAAGGTCTTACATGGTGTTCTGTGATGAATACACACATGGACACACTTTTTGGACATAATGTACATAATATTCTTTCATCATTTTTGAACAGGTAAGGCTACCTTTTTTAACCAATCTGCATAAAATGAATATCTGAAACAAATGTTTGAACACTTGTTTTCTGTTTTCTTTTTTTTTTCTTCATTTAATATTTTAGTTTTCTGCTGATTTTTTTCTCAATCTACAGTTCTGTAAAGTCTTCCTTTGACAATATAATACGATCAGTGATATTATCATCCAGCTAGAATATCATTAATCATTAAATAACTTTATATTGTCTTGGCTTTTTTTTCAGTTGTCACCATTTAAAAACTAATTCCAAACATTACACCCAATCATATTTTTCAAATCTTGAACCCATTGCACTTGACAAACTCAACTGTGGGAATCTATATTTCTTGCATAACATATGGCACATACATTTTAAAGCAGGACAATTTGAAACATAGCAGCGTAATCCTGCAAAATATGCATTCTAGATTCCCCTCTGACGGTTAATTAAAGATTGTGGCCAAGGGGAATAATTCAGACTGTCTACATTCTGCATAAAAGTGTCTGTTGAAGAATCAACTCACCAAGTTCAATAAGACTTAACAAGAAGCATACAAATACGATACAAAGTTTACATACACTATGTTAAAAGACACAAATGTACTTACGAGCTGTACGTCTGTATTCAGCCCTGTCTTGGGCCCCTGGGGCACCTCGGGGTCCTCCTTCTGGACCTTAAATAATCAAAGCTAGAATAAATTTCTTGTATATTTAATAGGCTACATATGCTACTGATAAAGAGGGAATACCCTGCAATTTTGAACAGGGACTAGGTCCCTTCATCAGATCAAAATGCAATTCAAAAACTTCAGTGTATCAATCCATCTAAAGAAATATAAGTATTGAATCCATTGCTGGTACATGAGATATTGACCTCAAATAAGTCACTACTACCTTTAGGTCTGGGTCTGGCTGTCTCTGGTCTTGTTTGTCTCTTTAGTGTTGCTGGCACAATCTCTGCTGGCAGGTGGAGGTAATCACGTAAATACTGGATTCCTTCATTTGTTAAATACCAGTAGTAATGACGCCATGAAAATTGTTCTCTTACATATCCTTGTGACTTCAAAGACTGCAAAATTTTACAAATTGAAAAAACTTAACTCAACATCACAATTATTGTAAAACCTATTGTCTATGTCAAACCAATAATAGCAAATCAAGGATAAATTAATACAAGAGGCCCATGGGCCACATCGCTCACCTGAGCACACTGGCTAGATTAAAGCACAAATCAGTTCAGTAATGAACGAGGGGGGGGGGGGGGGGCTTGAATTTTAAACTACCTGATGATGCTTTCATGTCAATATAACAAATGAATTTGTTGTACTTGAGAAGATTTTAAAAGAATTTTCCCATTTATTCCTTTGTAAAAATTTGATCCCCCATTGTAGCTCCTCCCTATCTCAGGGGTCATCATTTGAACAAACTTGAATCTACATTATCAATCCCCCATTGGGCCTCACCCTACCCCCGGCAGCCATGATTTGAACAAAATTGAATCTACACTTCCTGAGGATGCTTCCATATAAATATGACTCTTCATGGCTTTACTGTTCTTGAGAAGAAGATTTTTAAAGATTTTTCCTGTATATTTCTATGCAAAATTTGGATCCTCCATTGTGGCCCCGCCCTACCCCCGGGGGTCATGATTTGAACAAACTTGAATCTACACTACCTGAGGATGCTTCCGTATAAATATGACTCTTCATGGCTTTACTGTTCTTGAGAAGAAGATTTTTAAAGATTTTTCCTATATATTTCTATGTAAAACTTTGATCCTCCATTGTGGCCCCGCCCTACCCCCGGGGGTCATGATTTGAACAAATTTGAATCTACACATCCTGAGGATGCATCCATATAAATATGACTCTTCATGGCTTTACTGTTCTTGAGAAGAAGATTTTTCCTATATATTTCTATGTAAAACTTTGATCCTCCATTGTGGCCCCACCCTACCCCCGGGGGTCATGATTTGAACAAATTTGAATCTACACTACCTGAGGATACTTCCATAAAATATGACTCTTCATGGCTTTACTGTTCTTGAGAAGAAGATTTTTAAAGATTTTTCCTATATATTTCTATGTAAAATTTTGATCCTCCATTGTGGCCCCGCCCTACCCCCGGGGTCATGATTTGAACAAAATTGAATCTACACTTCCTGAGGATGCTTCCATATAAATATGGCTCTTCATGGCTTTACTGTTCTTGAGAAGAAGATTTTTAAAGATTTTTCCTATATATTTCTATGTAAAATTTTGATCCTCCATTGTGGCCCCGTCCTACTCCCGTGGGTCATGATTTGAACAAACTTGAATCTACACATCCTGAGGATGCATCCATATAAATATGACTCTTCATGGCTTTACTGTTCTTGAGAAGAAGATTTTTAAAGATTTTTCCTATATATTTCTATGTAAAACTTTGATCCTCCATTGTGGCCCCGCCCTACCCCCAGGGTCATGATTTGAACAAACTTGAATCTACACTACCTGGGGATGCTTCCATATAAATATGACTCTTCATGGCTTTACTGTTCTTGAGAAGAAGATTTTTAAAGATTTTTCCTATATATTTCTATGTAAAACTTTGATCCTCCATTGTGGCCCCGCCCTACCCCCCGGGGTCATGATTTGAACAAACTTGAATCTACACTACCTGGGGATGCTTCCGTATAAATATGACTCTTCATGGCTTTACTGTTCTTGAGAAGAAGATTTTTAAAGATTTTTCCTATATATTTCTATGTAAAACTTTGATCCTCCATTGTGGCCCCGCCCTACCCCCGGGGGTCATGATTTGAACAAACTTGAATCTACACTACCTGGGGATGCTTCCATATGAGTTTCATCTTTCCTGGCCCTGTGGTTCTTGAGAAGAAGATTTTTTTAAGATGCTATTCATTTTTCACTAATTCTTAATTATCTCTCCTTGAAAGAGGGCGTGGCCCTTCATTTGAACAAACTTGAATCCCCTTTACCCAAGGATGCTTTGTGGCAAGTTTGGTTGAAATTGGCCCAGTGGTTCTGGAGAAGAAGTCAAAAATGTGAAAAGTTTACAGACAGACGGACAGACGGACTACAGACAAAATGTGATCAGAAAAGCTCACTTGAGCTTTCAGCTCAGGTGAGCTAAAAACCTACAATACTTCCGTATCATGTCACATTGTGTAACTGTACTTGCTGCAAATCAAAAGTTCTTTTTACTTCCATTGCTTTTATACGAAACCAACTCATTACTTACTAAATTTTACCTTTTCATGTAAATAAAAAAAGGGGGACACTATTTGTGAAATTCAAATATACAACATAACATAAAATTAGTCAAAGAATTTTGAGGAAATAAAATGTGCTCACTGTTAATGCCTTAATAACATGAAGGTTAGGGACATCAATCTCTGGGTGTTTTGGAGCAGAAAAATCTTTCTTGGCTACCAAAACTCCTTCCTTGAACAGGTACTCAAATATCTGCACTCGATTTTTCTTAGGCATCAACATTCTGAAAAAAATAAGAAAATATCATGCAAGATAGGATACTTTATAATTGCTTTAAATATCTTCAAGTAAAATGACTTCTTGTTTCCTTATCAATTTTGCTTACATTTTTTTTAACTTAAAAAAAATGAATTTGGAATCCTTCTCACTAGTCTTTTGAACTATTAGTTTTCAGACCTAACACATTATACAGGTTGGGCACAGTTCCTTTTTCGGGGAAGTATTACTATAAAACGGGATTATTCCTCTTTTCAGTAATAAAAAACATTACTGTATACGGGAATTTTTACTCGTTTACCCTCTATTCTCGTGTTTGCTTTGAATAAAAGATTAAGTGCAAGAATATTTTCACATCCTCTAAATATTTATAGTCTATTAAGTGTATGTATGCTCAAAACTACAATATCTATCGCTGCAAATGCTGAAAAAGAGTGACGAAATATTTCTACGACATAAATTTCTTACGGAAGCTTATCTGTGTTAAAATTGTGAGATTGAATATGTTCAGCACTTGCTAACTCGTTCATGAAATTATTCGTTCTATTTTAATTTTATATCATTTCTTTCAAAGACATCGTAAAATATTTTTTTATACCTCTGCTTCTTTTACAGATGAAAATAATTATTTGAAATATTAAATTTTAAAACATAGTCTTTCAAAGATGGTTTTAGCATGAATGCCCTTATAAGATTCCATACTTTTCGTATCATTTATCAACAGGGAAAATTAAAGTAAAAAGTTGTGGATTACTGCTGCACGTGAGGTTAAATTCCTATGCATGTTCAAAAGATTTCACCTCCACGAAACCAAGCTATGAAATATTCCATTTTTGAACAAATAATATAACTTATAAGGAAATATTCACATCCGTTTGAAGAATACTCATGATGTCATACGATCAAATCTCATCTTACTCCCGTCTGCAGCACTAAAGGACCGAATTTTTTTGTCAGCGAGGTTGGTTTAATAAATTTTAAACACACCACATCGTATTTTTCATGCACTTTTTATTTAATAAACGGATTTGGGGCATTATTTTAAAAATATGACGAAAATTCCCGTATACTGTAATGTTTTTATTACTGAAAAGAGGAATAATCCCGTTTTATAGTAATACTTCCTCGAAAAAGGAACTGTGCCCAACCTGTTATATGTTTCAACATTATTGGTGACAATACTTTCAACATGTATCTACTTTAACATAACCTTATTTGACCCTTTAGTTTTATATGCACTTCTAATTTAGGGTATCACAAGTAACTAGTAATAATTTAGTCATCTTTCATAACCATAACCGCTCTTTTCCTTATCAAATGATATTTCTTGCAACTACATTCTTAATCGTTAAAACGGTATATACTGAGTTAAGATGAAGGGGGGATGTAAACAAACACATTGGGTTGAAAAACCTCTCATATATATGGTAATTTGAGAAATTATGTAATCTTATTTCAATTATATGTTCTATCTTTTATTCTCTCTCTGCACAAAATCGTATACTGTAGTCGATATCGTAAGATTTAGGTGGTATCAATTCACTCACTTGCCAATTCAGTATGGCTTAAACCGGAAAAGGAAGTGGACATGAAGTACAGTCTATATGCCGACGAGGAAGAAAAATTGAGATGGTTGTCTATAAAATACATTATAATCATTTACTCAATAAATATAAAGTAACTAAAACAAAATATAGTTCTACTTCAAAAAATTAAGATATCTAAACAGTCGTATTAAATTGTGTTTACATACGCATATTCATATGTATATGTAAACTTGCGTCAATTAGGCTTTACAAAAAACCAAGGGCGATAATGAGTGAACGTGTCATTTGTCTGTTTATTCTTTTAAACATTAACACAGTTACGGTCTTTTCAAAGAGGAAAATCACAGATGATGACATGAAAATATATAGGTAATAAATAATGCAATCACTGTATTGCTTAACATGTGTATGTTTTCTCGAAATATCGTAAATGTAAGGCTTTATCTGCAGTGATACAGAGGAAATTCGAAATATAGTACAAATATTTACCAGGATAGGTCCCTGGTGATTTCATTCTCATGTTAAATGTTCTTTTTTAAGGTCAAGATCTAGTAAATAAAAGGTTCCTACATATTTATCAAATGAATTTCTTTAATGACGTTTTAACTATAGCTAGGTAAAATAACTTTCAGGTAAACACAGCGAAACCCCCCCCCCCCATATTTTTAACCGGCCTGCCTAATTGAAGAATTACGAGTATTACTCAAGCAAATTAATTACTAATGACCCCAGTAGGAATACACATGATGTTGGACACTTTACCTCTTTCCAAATTTCAATATCATTAATATTCTTTTCGTAAATATTGCAGACAGAGAGTTGAATCCATGTTTCACCATGCCTATGATGGGTACATAAAGCATGCCTATCCTTATGATGAGTTGAGACCTCTGACATGTGATGGACATGACACTTGGGGAAGGTAAAAAGTGCATTGTCTTCTGAAACAATTGTGTCATAAACCTTAATTTTATGAGCAATCAAATTTATTGCTTTATTTATTTTTTACAAGTATTGTGTTTTTTTATGCAGTTTTAATAATTATGTATATTTCATTTATCCAAATGTTTTATAAGTTATGAAAACTGAATAATGCTTTAAAAATTGTCTTTTTGGACAGCTATTCACTTACCTTGATAGATGCATTAGATACACTTGCAATAATGGGAAACTACACAGAGTTTCGAAGGGTGGCTGAGCTGATTATTGACAAAATGAACTTTGATACCGACATAAATGCTTCAGTTTTTGAAACTAATATCAGAAGTAAGTGCAGTTGGCTTTAACATAGTTCAAAAGACTGACGCTCAATTTGGCAAGTTCGATCCATGTAAAAAAAAAAAATCATCCTTTATAACGATTCCCTAAATTTATCGTAATTCTTGCTTCGAAGCAATTCACATTGCTAACTGATTTCACTTAAGGTCCTTCTGACAAAGTTTGCTTTTAAATTAAAAGTATCAGTGTGCCCCAAAATCACTAGCCGATGCCCAAACACTAGTAAAAATTCAGACAGGCTAGGAAATGTAGGTCAACACTAGCCCTATTAGACTAGTATAATTTTCAGCAATGATTATATCCATTTCTATTTCAGTATTTAAAAAAAGTGTGTAAAACACTTTTGGTTCTGAAAAATTAATTATTTTGATTGAATATTTCTGACTTTCTCTGTGATTTTGTTATCCTTCTGACTCTATAACCCAGGTTTGGTTATATATAATTGACATTCCTGGTTGCCAGTTTCAATGGATAAGAGTTGAGACTGAGATTGCCACTGATATTAAGAAAGGCTTTGAACTGAAAGTACCTGAGAGTTTCAATGGAAAGATTGGCAGACTGTGGGACAAGACTCGGTTAGGAACATATTGTAAGAAATGTTTATGGTGCATCGGACTGCATCCTTGTGTAAAACAAATACAGTTATATTCCAGGATCATGTAACTTTGCATAGATGCCATTGTGTCATGTGACAATGAAATGACAGAAGAGACTGTTGATAGAAATTAAATTTTTGAAATTAAATATGAGCCTTGTTGATTAAATGTAAATAAATGAAATATAACTGTCATTTTATTTTTCACACTTTTTGGGCTAGTGAAAGGTGATTTGGGCTAGTAAAATTTTGCCATTGCAAGCCCAACTGGGTTAGTGCTGAGAAAAGTTTTTGGTGCACACTGAAGTATCAATTTATCTTCAGTCAACATTTGTCATCATGCTTTAAGGTTCAGGTTATTAAATCTTTTCTGAATCCTGATTTAATCTGATTCAAAAATGTTTCATGCATTTTTTTTCCTTTTTGCACATTTACCAAAACAAATACATGTATATGAGAGCATCTTTCCTAAGTTATTACATATAGCTAATCACTGAGGATTTTAGACATTGAAATAAATTCAAAACGAGAATGTATCTTATTTCCTAATGACTAATTAGTCTTCCAAGCACTTTTATTTCTCATTTTGCACATAAAAGAATCCACAGCATTGTAGCATGTCTTTTTTCCAGTTCTTGGAGGATTATTGTCTGCCCATTTGTTTACAAAGCGAGCAAGAATGGAGGTAGAACCAGGCTGGCCCTGCTCTGGCCCACTCCTAAGGTTGGCAGAGGATGTGGCAAGGCGTCTTCTTCCTGGTAAGGTGATGACAAGCAAACAGACATTTAATGACAAGCAAATAGACATTCATAGTTTCCAAAATGCCTCTTCTATTGTTACAAATCATAAAGTAATTTTATATTTAATTGGTGCACGAAACAAGTATTTTTCACAGCAAAAAATCTCTAGCAATAAGGTTATACATGTAATTAGTTATTAGCTAATAGCAAAATGTATGTATTCTTTAATAATGCTGCAGGAATGTTATAGTTGAGACATGTATATACAGTAAAACCTCATTACCTCAAACTCAGTGGGACAGAGAAAAAATCTCAAGATATCTGATGGTTCAAGATATTGAGGTTAAAATGCATAAAAAAGTGATTTGGACTTCTAAGTTAGAAGTTCTAACTCACTTCCACTTACCCATGGTATTCAAAATATTGATGTTTGAGACACTGGAGTTTAATTGTATACCTTTGTGCTTTTAGTCTCATTTTGTCAAAGATTTGAAAAAAAATACTCAACATCTTATGAAATGAATACATACCAGATATGACAAAATAAAGAAGTTGAGTTTATTGTAAGAATTGTTATTTTTATCTAGTATCAAATACCATTTTTGTCTTATGTATAAACTGTTTCAATCTTCATACAGACAACATGACACTATATCATGCAGGATTAAGCATTACCTGTTTATTAATAATAACAGTATATTTTTAATATCATTCTTAAATGCATTTTTGTTAACCAAATTTTGTTCTTAACATGTAATCATGTAATCTCACAGATTGTTTGAGTGCATCAATAAGTTCTCATCAAATATAACAGGAAGAAACTTTCAATTGATTATTTACAGGTATTATTCAGGATTATATGCAAAAATTAAGTCTCCTGTGTAAATATCACTGTGTCAGAAGATTGATCACATGAAATATAAGTGATTTACAATATTCATTTGCCACAAATCTGTGACAAAAATTGCTTTCAATGTAGAACATGTAATTTTTGGACAGGTTTAAAATTGTTATTGGAAATAATTTTTTGGTGAAATAAATGGTATTTTTGTTTCAATATTTGTTTTACAAAGTGAAATTTAGAATTATTTTACCAACAGCATTTGACACACCAACTGGTATGCCTTATGGAACAGTCAACCTTAAACATGGTGTGCCTAAAGGGGAGACTACTGTGACATGTACTGCTGGAGTTGGGACATTCCTGATTGAGTTTGGAACACTAAGTAGGCTGACTGGTGATCCTGTTTTTGAGAAAGTGGCTGTGAGAGCAATGCGGGCTCTCTGGAACTCAAAGTCAGCTCTGGATTTGGTATATTAGATTCTTTTCACACCATCAACTTCTTGTGAAAGGAAAAGGAAACCCAAAGGGATAAAAA